CATTTAAACTACTGGCCAAGTAAAACATACCTGTTCCCAGTGTATTGATGTACAGCTGGGTAGAAGTGTGCAGTGTCCAAGTCTGTGTGACAACACCCACCTGAACCACCACTAGTAAAAATGGAGGGCTTTTTTTTTGCAGCTGAATACTCCACACAAATGGTATCTATGCCCCTGGCCATCAGCATGTGTAGAAAATTTCTCAAGCGCAACTATATGCAAGCTGTCTGGTGGTGGCTTATGTAAACTAGTTATTATAATCCAGATGTATACACTGTACTGAGCCTTGATGGCTTGGCTTGACCATTAGACAGCTCCCAAAATATTAGAATATTGCAAACACCATCTCTGTTCAGATTAAGGCTGCTGATGAATGCTTATTCTGTAGTGTGTATGTTCTCCACTAGTGCACTGGTTATCGCTCTATCTAGTTTTTTTTTTTTTTTGTTCTTAAATCACCATCGCATATGCAGTGGTTAAGACTCTCCCCTTTTCTAAATGAACAACCACAAAATTCACACTTGGAGTATTGGTGCGGCATTGCCCTAGCTCTTAAGTGTCATCTACAAAATATTATTGTACAACTGTTCCAGAAGATCCTTTCAATTATAAACCAGTGGTTTTTGCTGTTGTCTTCAGTTACAGACCTACATTTTCTCTTAGGTTGAAAATGCTAAATAATTATATGCCAACCTTCAAGATCTTTAGGATGCCTGTAGTTAAAATGTCATGCTTATCAGGGTTTTGCTTCCTGTGCTTCTTTTTCTGCTACAGTGATTGGAACCAATCAATAAGTGTTAGACTGAGCATTTTCTGTTCAACAACTTGTAAATACAGCACCTGTGGACCATTTCTGCACGTCAAACAGTACCTGTTATTTTCCCATTCATTTCCTGAAAGAGCTCCAAGGTGTAATTCTCACTGGCAGAGCTAATTAAAGGATCTGCATTACTCTAATTAAATGGAAGAAATGCTTGGTTATTATGTCTTTTATAGTTCTGTCCAGTATTGCCCAGCTTGTGGAGTGGGCTTTCACAGTTTTTAAATGACACATTCCAGCATGTTCTGCCATATGTCATAGGTTTCTCGTTAACACATCTAATGAACTGGAAACAATTTGTGTGTAATGTTTGCTTTTGACATTATATGACCGTTACACTGAAAAACTTCTCACCAACATTTCCGTACACTTAATGCTTGTATCTTATGATCTTGTATGGGTGTAGAAGGAATGAAAGACATTTGGCCACTATAATCTCTGGTAATTATAGCAACCAATAATTGCTCCTAAGCATGTGTAAGTTCTGCCGATTTAAAAACAAAAATGCTGTTACTATTACCTGAGGACTGGGGTATTTAGTATATTGTGACTCGTTGAGGATGCTGGTGCCTTAAATGCTGGTAAAAGTTTAATATGTGGGCAGAATACAATTAAAGCCCAAAATGTAGCCACAGAAACAGGCAGTCAAATTAGACTTTGTACCAACAACCACTATTTTCCTGGTCTTACCTCAACTTTCCTGTTACAGCTGCTGTTGATTGAGTCTAAACTCAACCATTTAAAAGTCACCAGATGTAGACCCAGTTTATTCTGCAATGTAATAGAATGGTCCTGTAATGTAACAGAATGGACCTGGTCAGACACAGCCCCATCCCCCATCGATGTAAGGACACTTGTGATGAAGGTGTGGCTGTTACTCCGTTATGCCAGCACAGAGCACTGCAGTCAGAGGACTGAAAATAGTATGTTGGCGCGAAGGATGTATTTTGAAGCATTTCTTAGCAAATTGGTCACAAATGATAAAATTAGGGAGCAGAGGACCATAAAGCAATAAAAAGGTGGTGATACTTTAATTGGGCTTTAATAAAATGGTTCAGTTCTCCTATGTGGATATTTGATGCAGAAAACTGCTTAGATGCATAGTTGTGGCTATGTTGGTAGAGTCTGATTTTATAGCAAGCAGGCCTGTGCAGTGACAGTGAATGAACTATTCCTCTTACCACTAGAATCACAAAACATTTACGTCGGTGTATACAGTTACAATGCTGCCTAACTAATTCCATGTAGAAAAACGCCCCACTGTATGCAAATTTTCACTCTTGGAATTGAATCTATTTAAAGTAGATCTTCGTAATAAAACCCTGAACTCTGATTGTTCTTTTCTTTTTTGCCAGTTTGCTGACAAATTTCAGGAAGTTAAAGAAGCTGCAAAGTTAGCAAGAGACCGATCACAAGAAAAAATGGAGACTTCCAGCAACCACTCTCAGGTAGGTTCTTCATTTTAAACTAGAATAATTTAGAAGTATCTGAGGGAGAAATGTATGACTCCTGCTGTAACCTTGTAATAAATCTTTCTCACAAATCGCATCACTGTCCTTGTTTAGCACTGATTTGCCATTCAACAGAATTGATAAGTGTGTGTTGATAAGTGACTTTTAGCTGTATTGGGCAAGGCCTGATGTTCAGTGTTGTCTGAAAGGTAATGCCAGATATATTGCTCAAAGAAAAAAACCTTGTCTAAAACCAAAAACTTTTATGTTTGGGATATAAAGAAATCAATAATTTACATATTTCTTATAACCAATACTGCTGTTAACATTTGTGGAACATACATGAAACGTTGTTTTAAGGGAATTTATGGTTTGTGTATGTTTCGGAGCTCCCCTGGGGAAGTCCAAAAGGTAAACAGATTTGGGGTTCATTGTAGACCACAGGCTGAGTAATAGCTCAGTGTCAGGCTGCGGTAAACAAAGCAAGTAGAGTCCTGTCCTGTATTAAGAGGGGAATGTTTTGCAGGGACAAGTCTATAATTCTGCCACTTTATAGTTCACTGGTTCGGCCTCACCTAGAGTACGCGGTCCAGTTTTGGGCACCATTGAACAGTGGGGATGTCCTTGAACTGGAAAGAGTCCAGAGGAGGGCAACCAAACTCATAAAGGGGATGGAGGACCTTAAAATTGGTGGAGAAAAAAATGTCAGCACAGTTAAGGTGCCCATACACTGCTCGATTCTCGTACGAGAATCGCGGGAAATCCCGCGATTGTACAAGAATCGAGCTGTGTGAACGGAGACGTGCGACCGTTTCTACTGTACGGTCGCACGTCTTCCGTCGAACCAGCATGTTCGAAAACCAGCCGGGAATCGTACGATTCTCGGCTGGTTAGAACGGTGCTCAGAAGACAAATGCCAAACGGGCCGGTGTGCGCACGCGCACACTGCCCGTTCAGCATTGCGGTCATCGGAAGCCCGCCCCTCGGGGGCGGGCTTGCGATGATCAAGAGTGCGATCTGCCTGTCCAAGATAGGCAGATCGTACGTTTTTTTAATCCCTGTACAACCATCGCAAGACTAAGGTCTTGTGATGGTTGTATAGTGTATGGCCACCTTTAGATAAGTCAAGGTCTGGAACTCCCTGCCACATGCTGTGATTTCAGCTGAGTGTGGAATCATTCAAGAGGTGATTGGACGATTTCCTCAGGGACCGTACAGGATACATACTACACACCAATAGGACCATACACAAATAGGTTGGACTTGATGGACATATAAATTAAAGCTTTGGGCTGACTGGTCGCTATGGGCACCACCAGTTTCCCTTTGCACTAGGAATGAGGCCACTTGTAAGGCCGAGTTCTCTATGGTGAACTAGAAAAATAAACAAGTCTGTTTCAGTCACAAGCTGTTGAAGTCACTTCAAGCATTTCCATAGATTTTCAATGAAACCTCCAGTCCGTGCCTAATTGCTGTTGTTATTGCTTAACCCCAGGGCACAATCAGTGTGAGTGTATTTATAAAAACAGTATGTGTGCGCAGACCTCTTGCTCGGAGACTGACCTCTGCAGCTCCGGTAATTCTAGGATTAAACGTTGGCTGTACAACAATGGGTTGGTTTCCGACTCTTGATGCAAGCCATGTAGAGTATTTATGAGCAGGCCTGTAATATTGGACCATGGCTGTTTAAACCTGAAAATCTATAACAAGTTACCTAACAAATGGTGTTGGCTTACAGGTATCGAGCCTTGTTTTAAGATGTTGCTATAGCAACCAAAAGTAAAAGCAGGAGGCCCACCTACTCGGCGTGAATAAAACATGGTCAAGAACTAGAATCACAATCTGTTATCTCTATAAGAGCACCTTATTTCCTAATTTATTTTTCTTTTGGGTTTGTTTTTTTTTTGGGGGGGGTCTCGGCATCTGTTTTTTCTATAATACCAATTATAGAAAAAATGCCTATTGGACACATTGTCCATTAGGTTATCATATTTTTTTCAGTCCGCATGAGGTTTTCTGGAATGTTTTATTTGATGCATCCAGACTGATGACTGTGTCCTCTATGCTATTTCTCTTTTTTTTTTCTGAAAAAGTAGTGCTTTTGACCCGCAGGAGCATTGTAAGCTTTTTTTTCTTATACACATTTTTATGTCTTTATTATTAACCTAAATTGGAGCTACAACCTCCTATCCCTTACAGCCACTAAGGGGTCATCTTAGCCTCTTTTTGGATTGCAGTTGCCATGGCAGGGATCCCACTCTGAAAAAAGTAATTTCAGGGAGGTGCCCTTGTAATTTCAGGATGGTGCTCTCTAGGCAGAAAGCACCCCCCTGAAATGATGGGAGATAGCAAATAAGCTAATGCTTCCCTTGCTATCTGCTGGGTTTTTTTTTTTAGTATTCTTACAGCAGCTGCCATCAGAATAAAAAAAAAGAAATGAACAGCTAGAATGCAGCATAGAAATTAACAGCTAGAATGCTATTGGCTATTTGAATTTTTGCAATAGCCAATAGCAAGCTGCCTACTGCACCCGCTGTCTGCTGCTGTCAATCAGCAGAGAGAGGACCTGATTCACAGCAGCAGTGGGCGGGTGCAATAGCTAGTCTAGGGCGGTGCTGTTTTTTTCTTACTCTTGAGGGCGGCGCTGATTATCAGAGTTAAAAATTTAAAAAAAAGACAGCAGGGAAAGGTTTACTCTGCTAGATCGAGCAGAGAAAACCTTTCCGGGAGAAAATGTTTCTCTCCCGGGTGAGAAAGTCCGGGAGATTTGGGATGTCTGCCATGGTGTTGCACATGTGATCAGCTAGGACGATGGCCATTAAAGGTCTTGAAAGTTTAGTTGAGAGTCGAAATAAGCACACAGACAACCTTGACAGTTGGAATGCCTTGAAAGTAACTGTTTTTGGAGACATTAAATTGGTAGGTAAAGTTCTGCTGTATCTGCTCATACTAGAGGTTCTGACAAAATATAAGAACAAAGTTATACTCTCAAGACTTGCCTTTGCTCTCTTGTGAGTAACTTTTGCTTTTATTATATTTGCTCAATAAAAACCATCCACACTGGGGAAGGCGCCCCCTGTTTGTTCTATTTTGTCATATACTCCTTTCTCCCTGACTGATGTTAGGCTGCCTCCTGTTGAATTCCAGTGTGCCTATATATCTCCAGCGGCGGGATCATCTTTTGGCGCTAGTGGCTTACCATATCATACTAGAGGTTATTGGATCAAATAATGGGCAAATGTAGTCTTTTATAGGACGAACACAAATACATATTCTCAGTCTTCGATCATTAGATTCCTGCTTTTGTCTAGTACAGTTCACCTTGAAATAAAACCCTGGATGAACGCTTCACACATTTATTACTAAACTGCTTATTCAGTCAGTCAAGGTAAAGCGCGCATGTAATATGCCGAGTACAGTAACAATTCAGAAATTCTTTCTAGGAAATGGTAATCTGACTGCATTTTGAAAATCATATTTGCTCTTCTTTTTTTTTTTGTATTGAATAAGGCGAAATATATCCCAATCATAACAGCCACAGTCCGAATGGAAAAGCCTGTCCCCTGCCAGCATACTGCAGAGAAGGACCCTTGCTCTCTGGGGCATGCCTGAATGGATACAAATTGATTGGGGAGGTCGCGTAGGGTCCTCATATTACATAGCTTTGCTAGATCTAAAGTTGATTGTACAGAGCTGGTATGGCCCTTACCTGCTGCCGAACCCGCCGGCTTTCACATATGCAAAGAAGGACCCCAGCCTTGTGTAAGGCTCCCCTAAACACCTGTCCACATTCAGACAGGTGTTTTACAGGGCAGCCTTATCCAGCGCCAAGGTCTTTCCCCTGCGTTTGTGGAAGCCGGCAGTTCCTGCAGATGCCGCTAGTCTTGGAGCAGGGGGGTGCATTTTGTGCAGAATGCACCCTCCTTGCTATTATTAGTTTTGTATCTCGACACAAGACCGAGAATTAGCCAGAGTAGGCAGGTGCCTACTCTGCCTAAGGGTAAATCCAGCACTGACTGAATAGTAACGTGTGGTTGGCTGTGTGCTGCCCCCAGCAGGCATGCCTCCTTAAGCCATAGTCAACTGTACAGAAATCTGGCGCAACCACCATAACTAGAAGTATTAGATGCAGTAGAGGTGGGGAAGCACTAGTGAAGTCCCCATTAAAGTGCATAGGGATTTCTTTAAAATCCAGGGGTGTTTTGACCTTTTCTTTTTCACGGGGATATATATGAATGAGCCCTTTAAAATAAAAGCTTGAGGCTACATTTTTTTTTTTTTTTTTTTGTGAGTTTTAAAGTGCTCATTCAACCACATTACACATATAAATGTGTTCCTTTTGAATAACCCGCTACCCTTTCCTGGGGTGCCCTGCATTAGAAAAAAGGGGCAAGTTAATTTTTTTTGCTCAAAAGTTTTTATACCCGCATAAGAGTTACAAGCTACAAAATGGAAGTAGTACCCTTCAATACAGCAACCATGTTGCATTTACAGTCTAAATTAGGTAAAGGTGCTATGCAACAGTGAATAACAAATGAGAAAGACTAGAAGGGCTATTGACATTGAAGTCGGGGTCGCTGTGAAATGCAGAAAGTAACCTGCTTAAGATTAGAGTACTGAAAGTTATAAATGAATGGAGAAAGAGAAGCAAAACTGGGGAAGACATGGGGTGCAACACAGGAAATAAGAAAAACATAACCATAAGAGAATGTATAACAAGGTGTATTGGATTTAAGAAGGCCACGGTTAATTATTATAGGTAGGCTGAAGGTAATTGGTCAGGAATCCTAGCTTTTGAGTCAATGACAATAAACCAATAGGGTGGCTTTTGCTGAGCACATTTTTAAAATGAAAATTCTACTGCTATAAACAAATTATTAGCCCCCACTCTTCTCTATCTACAAGGGAAAACTGAGCAGGAATACTTGGAGGGAAAGTGGGTCTGCCTCCTGTTTCATCCACTATTAAAATAATGGGACCGGCACCTATGGAGGGTCTGGGGGATTAGCACGGGCAAGTGCTTATGTTTTTTTTTTCTTCCCCGTTCACATCCCACTGAACTGAATTGGGCTTCCTTAACGCAAAACACACCAGAACGAAAAAGTGCAAAGGGGCCCAATTGTTTTTTTTAACACCCCCTTTATGTGTTTTCCCTTCATCCCTGTGGAAAGTAGGCTTTGCTGGAAACTGTACCAAAGAAGCAACAAGCAGAACTTTTGTAAAGCCCTCCCAACATGAAAGCAGAGATGTGAATACAGCCTTACGATGAATGTAGTCGGACTTATGATTGCTGTAGGTTGGCATTTTTCCTTACACTGTATTGGTAAATATTGCCTTTTGGCAGTTCCTTCTCTGTAGGCCTGACTGAAACGTTAAGCTGCATTTTCCTGATTTTACTGTATGCATATTTATTCTGAATTCGCATCATTAAATCTATGCAGTCCTCGTGTTCCTCTTAAATGTTTCATACCCCGTGGCAAGGCTTGCTTTCATGTAATTAGCTGTTCGTCTGCTCCTGAATCAGACGGCATGTGTTGAGGATCATTGCTGCTCGTGCCTTGTGAAGAATATTTCTTATGAAAATGATTCTCTAAAGCCCAGGACGGTTATTATTAAAATGTCCCTGCTGATAAATGAGATGTTTGTCAAAAATGATGACAATCCTGCATTGTACTCGTCACACGGCCTCTTAGTCCCTCATAGTGATACTCTGTCGGTGAAATATAATAGAACAATTCTCACTTCTAGATCTAGCAAATATTTATATGGGTTCCAAGTCATTATCTTCTTGTCTCTGAGCTTTTGTAAGACTTCTGTAAAGAGAACGGTAATAGATTTAAGCACTGTGTTATGCAAGTAGTGGCGATCTGGAAGAAAAGATTGTTATTATCAAGGCCAATGACAAGAAAAGGCGGGGGGGGGGGGGGGGGAATTATATATATACACATCTAAAACATGCCAAAAAGCGCATGACCGCATTTGCAGAAACGCATCCAGATCTGGTCTGGAGATGGTGTGAACAAGCACTAAAGCGGGCCTTATCCTGCAGCCTTCCACCCCCACTGCACAGTAGGTAAAAATGCTCACAAAAGAAAAATGTAAAATCTTAGCTTGTACTTGTCCTCTCCATCCCCCGCTTTCTACAGCCATTGTTGACATTCCTCGGCTTCATTGCAAAATACTGGGAAAGCGGAGAACCTCCAAAATTATTTATGCAGCAATGTACTCTTGAGAGATTTGAGATCCTCCATTTTCCCAGGACCGCGCAAGAAGATTTAGTGAATTGCCCCTGCCTAGGCGAACAGAAGTTGGGTCCAAAGCATGACATAAATGGCTCGCACTTTGGACAATTCCTGCAGCATCGGCCGATATTCGAACTGTGGGCAGCCCTATCGGCACTTCCTGGCTCCACAAAAATACAATAGGGAAATATATCAAAACTAGAGCAAACAGAATCTGGAGCAGTTGCCCATGTCTACCTATCAGCTTCTCTCTTCCATTTGTTCAGTTAAGCTTTGAAAATGAAAGAGATGCTGATTGGTTGCCGTGGGCAGCTGCTCCTGGTTTTGTCTGCTCCAGTTTTGATAAATTTCCCCCCCAATGAATACAGTAACCAGCAGGAGAGATTCTTCCATCCATGTGGATGGAGGAATTGATTGATTTGATAGATTTTTCTTGTTCAGCCCATGGGGATAAATGAGAAAAACCTCATTGTGTGTGGCTAACCTAAGATTTAAAACCTCTGCAAGATTCCCAATCTTGCAGAGGTTTTAAATTTCTTTTAGTGGGTGGTTTTACTTTGGGATGAAGCTCATGTTTTCATTGCTGAGTAACAAGCAGAGAAAATCAATGCTTAGTACACAATAGCAAAAAGCCACATGGTTCCAGTATTCTGGATGGTGCCCTATACTATCTGCAGGGTTTATTTACTATTACATAGCAATGATAACCTGAACAGTGACAGACTAGAGAAAACATGTTATACTGAGTGAACTACTGCATTCTTTTCTTGGAGACCCACTCAGTTTAATTATCCTTTTAGTGCATATAATAGTGCAATTTGAATCTTTGTCTCGGATGACTTTAACAGTCTGTTCGTGTGTTTTGCCAAGAAGAGCGGAATATGCTTTGTCCCTAATCCAGTATTGACTACTTGAAGCGTTCCATAAACGAGAAGACTTTGCCGAGTGTATATATAGTTAAGGTCCTTGTTTGTATAATTCACAGTAAGCCTCAACAACCATTTAAAAGACTAATCGTGTGTAATAGATCTCAACAAGTGTGCACCATTTAATAGGCAAGGCCCTGCATCTTAGCAGTTAATATAACAGCTTGATATCCAGATTTTCCTGAATCTGCCAAATCAGAAGGCATCTTCTAGTACCATCCTTATTAAAGGTTCTCTGTAATTTGACATGAAAGCTTGCAAATCCTTCTGTAATTCCTATCATTTTCTGAGCTCACACACACTGACAGACAAGGGCCTCTCCTCTGGTACTTGTGTGTATCACGGACTTTTCAATGTATCGCTGATGCTGTAATGTACTCTTCAGGGATGAAACCGACTGTTTGAAAACATAGGACTTCTAATGTATTCAAGCATTTTTCTGGAGTGAAAAAACTTAGATGGGAGGGATGGTCTTTTCTGAAATCCTGAAAATTGTCGTCTCTACATAATGTAGTATGCTATAAAATAACAACCAGTGTAGTAACTTTCCATTACTGCACATCCAGACTGTCCTGATTTTTGATTGGTTGGTACCAATTTTATGGCCGATTGAAGAAGTGTGATTTACCAAATAAAGCCGCGGTATGTCTCCAACACTAATCTTCAAATTGTGCGAATATTTCAGAGGCACTTGAAAGAGTCTCTTGCTATCCTATATGATAGACCCAGCTTGATGTGTAGGTAGCTCATTAGCTTTATGGTTAGGCAGCTCAGACAATCTCCAACAGGAGGCACTGGGAGTAACTTGGGGACAGGAAGCAGAAGAGCACTAGACCAAAACGGATGTTCTAGTCCAGTGGTGGCGAACCTTGGCACTCCGGCTGTTTTGGGTGTCCATGAGGCATTGCAAGGCTCTGACAGCCACAGACATAACTCCCAGAGGCAGATGCATGTTGGTATTTGTAGTTTTGGAACAGCTGGAGTACCAAGGTTCGCCACCACTGTTCTAGTCCATTAAAAAAATGTAATCAATGTGTTTGGTAGTTCTCCCAAAATTTGTAAATTGCAGGCAGTGCCATTTGCAAATCTATACATTTTGGGAGAACTACCCATAGCTGCAATATGTTCTAAATTCTGAATCTTGCTTTGCTCTGAGTCCAGTCCTTCATTCTCATCGTTTTCCAAGCCCTGAGGAAATGGGTTATGTTTGCCCCTGAAACACTTTGGTTGTTTGATCGACCTAACTACAACACTTTTTATCCACTTTGTTCTTGCACTCTCTTCTGTTTTCTGTCTCTTACATGTCAATGGCAAGGCAAACACATGTGTGGTTTGTGGGGACTGGCATTTTAAGCTGGATTATGTCTCAAATTTTTTTCCTTGTTTTACATGTCTAGGAGTCGGGTCGGGAAACACCATCATCCACTCGAGCGTCTAGTATAAATGGAACAGATGATGAGAAGGCGTGCCACGGAGGACCCCCTGACTCTGAACTGAAGACTGAGAACGATAAACTAAAAACCGCCCTTGCACAAAGGTAACTTGCTGATTGAGCTTCCTTGTATATATGACACAACCATTTGGTGGTTTTCCTGTATACAGATGTCTACCAGGACACATGCTCAGGATCTCCTGCTCACTAGGTTTCACTGACTCAGTTGTCTATTGAGGGTTTTCATTTTTTTTGGTATACTGTATCTAGTGTTCTTTTATTATATCAACTAGACTTGTTCAGCTTGTACAAACTGCTTATTTAGTTCTAATGTGTGTCAAGAACATACCCGAACATTTATTGCTAGATGAAACTTCTCAAAGTCAAAAAAGTTTCAAGCTATTTCAAATGCTGATTAAATCACTTACAATGGATACTGCTTCTTGATGTGTAAATGTTGTAGTTTCCTGCAGAATTCTCCTGGTCCCCTGAGCACTGACCCTGAAATCATGTAATAAGGTGGCTCCTTTCCCTTGCAGGCCCATGAGGCCACCCTTGTGTGTGCTAGACAGCTGTGTGTGTGTGTCCACTAATATACAGACCACCAAGGCAAGTCACTACCCTGCTCCTCCCTACTTTCTCTTCTCCCTTCTATAGTTTCCCTAAACTAGTAGACGGGCAGGACAGTTTATTACTTAAAGGAGAACTATGGGGTTAAGGCTTTTCCCCATAGTTCTCCTTAGGGTAACGGGAGGACACAAACTAGCGTCCTCCCATCACCCTAGGCTCAGTATACTGAGACGCCGCAGCTGAAGCGGATCCCGGCAATTGTCTGGATCCGCCAAGCAGCGTGACTGACAGCTGGCTCTGCCTATCTAGAGGCAGAGCCAGCTGTACCCACCCCCTCCCCCGTCCATTCCCGCCAGGAGATGAGTGAAAAGCACTCACCTCATAGTTCTCCTTTCAATAACTGTTCCAGGCATGCTGACACCATTGGTTGGATAATGTAACTAGAATAAGAGATTTTCATAAACATTCACACTTCTCCCCAGTCCTTGGACAATAATATTCCTCCTTGACACATTTAATTGTGTTTGGATTAATGTGCCCTGTGTGGATATAAATGCTGGGGACAGTTCCTAACACTTCGTAGAACTGGAGAAGTGGCTTGGATAAGAAAACATAATCAGCATTACAGAACGAGTCCAGTGGGATGCAACAAACTACTGCTAGATACAATGATTAAGTGATACAGATTCTACTTTCCCTTTATAGTAGTCTGTTTGATATCTTTTATGAAACCTGGAATTCCGAAGTGGTATTCTACTATCTATAGAAAGTGGTGCAATTGTCCATAACAAACTCCTAATGACCGCAAAAACAAATGCAGATCTGATTGGTGTGCGTGCCATCTTGTGTCCACATATTTGTGGTATATACACTGTAGATTAGGATGGCCAGTACTCGGTAGCAAAATTTGTGACCGCAGTCAGCCTCGTCAAGGAGTAGGTGGAATACTCTCTTCTGATCTAATTCCAATTCCTCTTCAGGCAGCACTTTTGTTATTGTGTATGCTAACTGCACTGCCTGGTGCTCAGCAGCAGTATCTGACCAGCGGGATTCATTAAAGATGAACTCCAGGCAAGCAGCTAAATACAGTTTTTCAACATTAAATGCACTGTTTATTTGAGTAACGGAGCAAGGGTTTACAGCATGCTGGGAGACAGGCTATAGGAGACTACATATTTTACAAAGCTATCACTTACAAGATCATGATACAAGTATGGTTAACATTCACTGAATGCTGGCTGTGGGCATCAACATTTGATGGTTTGCAGGAAGTGTGCTGCACAAACTAGACTATAAATCTATAATCTTTAGAGCCTGCTTTTTATTTGTATTCCAGACATCCCTGCCAGACAACACAACTAGGTCCTTCACTTTCATTGCAACTGCTTTGTCAAGCTTGCAACCTGCTGATTGAATAGTAAGACTTGTGATCAGCTCTGGGCAGGAGGCGCTGTACAATATGACGGCTGCCACTGCCTGCAGTTGTTCATATGTAATTGCACATGCTGCAATTACCTGTGGACGATTGCGGGTAGTGGCAGTTGACATTGCATTGTTCAGCGCCTGTAGCTAATCACATGATTCTCAGAGGAATTCTTGAGGCTCATGCCATCAACCCCATTCACAAATGTGAATAGGGCCTTAATGCCAAGTGTGTATTGTCAGGAAGTGGTAAAACTACACTCCAGGCAAGTGGGTAAATAAACAGTTGACCGACATATGGCAACTGGCTTATCTGCCAAAAGGTTCATAATTCTGGCCAGCCACTTTTATGATTCATACACCTTTTGTCAGACCGCACAGCCAGGAAGATGAGCAGATATGCTAACAAAAGATGGGAACAAATGGAGCAGAGTGATGACTGATTACTGTGCTGCTGATCCTTTTTGTTCAATCAGCAGGCTAGGGGTGGGGAGGCGACACCACTCTAAAGGTGGCCATACACTGTACAACCATCGCAAGACCTTAGCCTTGTGATGGTTGTACAGGGATTTAAAAAACGTACGATCTGCCTATCAAAAAAAATGTTGCCTCCCCACCCCACTCTGCTGATTGGAAAGAGAAAGATCAGCAGCATAGTGATGAGTTTTCACTCTCCGCTTGTTCTTTCCTCCCATCTGTTGTCACTATGTGGACTCCAGCATGGTGCTTTTTTTTCTGCCTGGAGTTTAGCTTTAAGTGGAAACTCATGTCAGCCACCTTCCTCCCTCAGCCACAATAATGGATTCTTAATATAAAGCTTTGCTTTTGCTCCTAACAACAATTGAATTGATTCAGTTAGCTTAGTACATCCTGAAATTTCAATCCATGTGTTGAAAAACATAGACTCTAATATAATGACCTTTTGTGTCCTAGATCTGTAGTTGTTAGGCCATAGTACTGTACATATTATGGCATGTTTTTCATAAAAATCAGATATAAATAGAATTGTGATACAATATTTGGAGCCTTCAGCTATTGTCACTTGAATTTGAGATAGACGTGGCCGCCATATATCCAGAAGGCATAATGCATCATAGATGATCCCATGGGCAGAAGCATGAGCAGCATTTGGCTCAGAAGTCACAGTAAATTATGGTGACATTGCCCACTGCTCACATATGAGGAATAACAGAAAAGTCGAAAGAAACCATTTACTCCTGGCAGTGTACAAACCCTTGTCTCCAATAGTCTATGATCACTCTAGAAATCGCTCTAGGAAATCTACTGCTGTTTAGCTCACACAGAATATTGTTATATTGACATTTGCAAGAGAAAAATATTATAAAATCCAGCTCTGAGGACTACATAAGAAAAAGCCAGCATATGTATTCATATTGTGTTCAGGATATGTAATGACTAATTTCATTTTTCATGATAAAGACCAACTTCTATTCATGGACCCTACAGCTCTAAGATTTTTTCTTTCTTCTCATTGTTACTAGATGTATAATAATGTAATAAGCTTATGAACATTCTCTGTTTTTGTTTTGTTTTTTTCATTTGAAGAAGATGCATCCTTCTCACTTCATCTCGCATACATATATACATCTATACATTTCTATATATGCACAAGCAGTTGAAGGTCCTTTTTGACTTGTCAGGTGCACAATTCATATAGAATGAATAGTGTGCCTGCAGAAAGTTATTAAGGTCAGCTGTGTGTGAGTGAAAGTGGGATGAAAGCAGCAGGAATGGACACAATAATGGTCTTATGATCCATGGTGTCTAATAGTTTCTTTGATGCTATACCACTGATCATTATTCTTTCTGTTGAACTATCTTTTTGCTCCTGAAAGTTGGTAAAATATGTGACAACTATTGACTGGTATGTTAATTCTTGGCCACTTAAAAGCTGGTGTGGGCCTTACGGCATCAAGAACTTGTGAAAATATCTCCCCTTACTAGTGTCAGTAACCCTCCCCTTACCTGATCCCTTCAAATTTAACCTACCCTTTATGGGTTGGTAACATTTAACCGCCTCTTTAATACTTAACCCCCAACCTAACCCTATTACTTGTAATAACACCTTTAGGCCTTGTTCACACCAAGCGTGTTCCAGGAGCAGAGCAGTTACAGACCGGATCAAAACTGCGTCCAATGTATTCCAATGGTATTTTGGGCTCTAGTTCACAGCGCAGCGTTCAGTTCCAGAGCATGTAAAAAAAACTGCAGCAGGCCCTATTTTACCTGCTCTGGAACGCATGCAAGCGCCCTGGAACACACTGAAAGCCCATTTTAAACTAAAAAAAAACATTTTTTTTTTAACCAAAAACGGTCTGGAACGCATCAAAAACGCAGCACAACCCACTACACTGCGTGTGCAGAAACTCATGCAGATCTGGTCTGCATTTGGTGTGAACAAGCCTTTTAAACTCTTCACAATAAACTAACCTTAGGTGGCATGTTTGGGGCCATAAGCAGGCTTAATACTCCTTTGCAGCCCTCGGCTGGTTTAAAATGATTATTTTGCCAAAAAGTGGTCAAAAAGCTGTCCCTGCAAAAGAAGAAAGAAAATACTTGGCTGACTCGCTGCCTGCGCTGCAGAATGACACGCTGGTGCAGAGATCACCTGATGAAGTCTCTACAGAAACAATCACTTCTAGGATTGTCAAATTCCTTGATCCCCACTGCACTCATTGGTTTCTCCTGGCCTCTATATCATTGTGTCCTATAGTGATGTAGGAGTCGGTGTAAGATCTCTGAGTGCAGCAAGGGATCAGGAGTGTCTGTTTCTGAAAAGACTTCAGCTTTAGAATTTTGCTACATCAAAGTGGCTTTAGCTGTACGAGCAGAGGTATAGGTAAGGATTTACTTTTTCTTCTGCAGGGATACTTTTTGTGTGCATCAATTTTCAGCGACACGATAAATTGGTGTAAATTGTTTCCATAATTTTAGAATAGAACTCTAGGATTTTTTAAAAAACATCTGTAATGTAAATATAAATTGTTTTAAGCTGTGTATGACAATTTCAGTATGTGTGTAGTTACCGTAATATGCTTACGTTCGTTCAGCAGAAGTACAAGAAGAGTGGCTTTGCCAGCTTTGGGCTCTCCCACATGGAAGCCATAGTGTTTGTCCACTTCTCTCTCTTGCTCATTCACGGAATGCTTTGTATTCTATGAATGGGTGTACAGTATAGTAAACAAAGTGTTCTGTGAATGGCAACGGGAGCGATAGGGCTGACTAACAACACTGCGGCTTCAGAGTACAATATGAGCTCTTCTGTCACAATGCCATACGTATAGAGAGAGCGATGCTATCCATCATGAATTAAATATTACAGTAACCACACACACACAAGCAAAATATAAAAATAAGGGAAATGTTGATAAATACGTCACTTCGAAACATGCCAAAGTATTCTATATCCTTTTTAATCTCCTACACATTCACCTGACATTCCTTCAACCTATTTTTGGAACCAACCTACCCCCCATGGGCAATGAAATGACAGGGAATTCCTTCAGACACCGCTGAAACATGGAAATAAATATTAGTATTTAACATGTTTTTTTGTGTTTTTATTTACTTTAAATTTCTTACCTGCATGCATGGTAAAATGGTTAGGGGTCCAAGGGATACCTAAAACCAGTTTACTAGGGAGGTGCAACCACCTGGTTGCCACCCATGGAGTCAGGTAAGCCACCCCTTGCTGACACCCCTTCTTGGCACTGGCGGTAACAAAGAGCCTGGTGGCTTTAGGAGGGGTTAGCAGGGAGGAAGCAATCGTATATTTACAAGCCCCCCTCCCGCTTGCTAACACCTCCTCCTGGGCACCAGGGGTACTGAAGAACCTAATGATGTAAGCACCAGTGCTTTTGGGGAACCGCTCTTAAAACACTAACTACTTAATAGTGAGGACCATGGGACTGCATGTTAGCTTAGTATGGTGACACTGGCCTGTGTGTGCCTGGTGTACCAGGTTGGTTCTTGAAATGGGGTATGCTGTGTGTTTTTTTTAATTTTTTTTAAATGTATTTTTAAAAAAAGTTACATTAGCCCTCCTAAGCAGAAACACAGTTTCAGCACCGTGAACCACTCCTGTGGACAAACTTGCCTGAGGGTTAAAGTGTATGTAATCTCTAAAAATGAAGTTCTCTTGTTTACTCCCCTTTGGTCTGCTAAATATACACTTAAACTTTTTTGTTGTATCTGTTCGATAAGCGCAAAAAATACCTGTTTTTCCCAGAGATCTTGTGAGCAGATATCTTCCTCTGCTCTCTGCCTGTGCACAAGCACAATCATATGCTGAGAGAAATTCATAAGTGAAAATACACTTTGTTGTCATGTAAAAGAGGAAGGTAGAAGCATGTTATTTTTCTGGCACATCAACAAGTTATTTTTCTGTACTTTCAGTGTTTTTCATAAATGGGAAATGTGAATATATTGCAGAGATGTATAAATAATAATTTTTACTTTCCCTTGGCATTAAATGTCTTTGTTTACATTTACTGTACAAGTTGAAATTGGCTATTCACCAGCAGTATTCTACATAAATTGGGTGAATGTCAGTAAAGGATTCATTGATGAATTACCCAGTGAATCATTCATACGTAGACCCCACAGTGCATTTGTTTTGGCCCCTTGTTCTCTGTGCCAAAATGCTCATTATACAGTAACGGTGCTGCCGCCTGCAGTTGTCGGTACACTATCTTCCCCATAACATAAGTGCACTCTGTTGCAGGATTGTTGCTACTACCTTTGATATAAAACTCAGGCCTTGTTACCCTAGCTGCTGCTTTGTGACACTAAGCTCATGAGTTTAATCTTAAAAATGCATGCAAGTACCTTGACTATTAACAAAAATGTATCCTTTTTGTGTATCACTCGGCTGCAGATCCTCAAATCATCTCTGAATTGGTGCTGACACTGTCCTTCTTTCTGGAGTGTGGCTACTTTTGTTCCCCATGGTCTGTGTGTGTGTTAAGTAGACACTACTCCAAGCTCGCTCCCATGATGGGTTACAATCTCATGTTTGGTTATCAAATTTGTATTGAGATTGTAGCTCTTCTGCAGTCTTTCCTGATCTAGTATGTCACCTTGGCATGAATAACTAACTGATGGCATGTCCTCAGATGTTGGGTCCAGTACAGTAACCCGCAGTAAATTGCATTCGGATTAGTGTTAAATAATTTTTAATGTTGTCTATGAGTTGCCACCACTCCCAAGCTCGCTCTTGTGATGGACTTCAATCTCCTGTTTTAGTTTACAAATTTGTATTGAGATTGTAGTCCATCACAGGAGTGAGCCTGGATTGATGGCTACTTAACAACACATACAGGGACCGTGGGGAATAAAAATAGCCACCCTCCAGAAGGAAGGACAGTATCGGCACCATTTCAGGGACGATTTCAGGATCTACAAATAAGCTCTTTTTTTGTTCATAGAGAAGGTACTTGAATACATTTTTAGGATCTAAGTCCTGAGTTTACTGTCACATTAGTCAACGTTGCTGTTTTTTTGATTGATTGTTGCTCCCCACCTCTACTCCATTTCAACATCCAACTTCAGATCTTATTCCGTTGCTTACACCATAGCATCCTGATCTTTATTAAATTTAAAATGAGTTATTAGCAGTGGAGTTGTGTATTATTCATTCACGCCAGAACACCAGTTGATTTTCTTATTTGATTATAGTTATTCAAGTAAATATTGAATTGGATATGTTCTCTGCCTGCTTTTATACTTGGCAGTCTATTCTAGTATTCGTGAATTGTGGATTATTTGCCATTGTAAAGTGAGCTGTAGATTTACTGCAGTGCAAATCAATACAGACACTTGTTGAAGCCAATACTGTGATCTATTTCAAGGCTGTTGCTTCGCTCTGAGTGCTCAATAATGTAAACCTTGGTGATGGAACAGCTGCTGCCTCTCTCCTTTAAGTGTTTATAGCTTTCTAAAAAAAAATAAACAAGCGTCTTATAATGGGTTTCATAGTAGAAACCAGTTACTGAATCATTTTTTGCTTTATGCTTAAAAACCAACCAAATACTTACAGGGTTATTCAGAACAGGGTGAAGAGTTTGGAAAAGGCAGGAGAAGTGAACAATCTAGGACAACATAGATGAACTGGAAAGTGACCTGAATTGGGGGAATTTTTCCAGTTCAGCTATGTTGTCCTAGATTGTTCACTTCTCCTGTCTTCTCCAAACTCTTCATCTTTTTGTGAATAACCCTGTAAATGAATTTTAGAAAACAATGTTTTAAAAACTGTTCAGTGATGCAAAATAAAACAATTATTTATAATATATATGCCCTTACGCTAAATTTAAAGGGAAGTTATAATGGTTCAGGGTCAATTTTGTTTTACTTTTAAAGCATACATGGTTTTTAAGCTAATATGTTATAGTATAGTTTTTGTCTATGTTGTATATACTATGTATCAAAATTAGGGCTGGTAAAATTTTCGTGTTCGATGAATCGAATTTTTTTTAAATCGATTACATTTCGATTTAATTATAACTCACATACAGATCTATCTACATTGGCCTATACACATACAGCACAGCAATGAAGTAATACAATGAACTAGGATCACACTAATCCAGCACGTTATTAATCTCACGTGCCCCACTCCTCAATATGGCCGCCACTTGAGTGGGGCAACTCAGAATAATAACGTGCTGGATTAGTGAGGGAGGAGTCCGGTGACGTCAACTTCACCGGATCGCCAACGGGACTTCCGGAAGTCGGCGGTGAGGTGAGTGTTTTCATTAGCGATCAAAATAATTTTAATCGATCAAAACGTTTAACGATTAATCAAGAAATTAATCTTTAATTTCCACAGCCCTAATCAAAATGTTTATTTGTAAAGTGAGGACTTTATATAAAGAGTGCAGCTACATCACAGAGCATTGTTAAAGAGTACAGCAGAAATTTTGCTTTAAAGTGAACCTGTCACTAGAAAAAAAATTTTGTTTTTGTTTTTAAACCTTTTTATAGTATAGATCTATTTCCCAAGCATGCTTAAATTCACATGCTGTTAAATGACTTGCTACCTCTGCTGAAGCTCTGCTGCAAGCATGGACTACTCTTTTGGTAAAATAATACTTTCTAAGGTCAGATTTGAACTCTCCTCCATGTAATTTGAGGTCATGTCCTCATATTTTAGATATAAGACCAAGTGCTCCATTGAGTCTGCCCCTGTTTTTTTTTTTTTTTTTTTTTTTTTTTTTTTTACGACAGGGAAGGGGGGAAGAATTACTTCTCTGAGCTTTAGCTATTAGGCTCTACACAATACTTTTTTTTTCAACAGAGCAACTAAGAGTAGACAAACATTGGAAAAGCAGCTTTGAACTCCACCTGTTGGCTGGAAGTGTAAATGTGAAATATTCATATGCAATGTTTCCTGTTTTACAGTCTAAACAGCCAGCAATCTTTTCCATACCTAATATGACCTACAATTCTTTGTTTTTCTCCAAGGCTGTGTCGCCCATATTAGCTTTTCTCAGTGAAGGGTCTGAGCTTGCATATTTAAACAAACATTTCCAATCCTACCAAATGGCATATTTTACATATTTATTCGCCAAAGCTCATTTGCGGTGCACAAACAAAAAATCCAATATTTATGTTTGTTTTCCTCTCAGCACTTCCAACGTGAAGAAGTGGGAAACCGAGCTGGAGACACTGAGAGAGAGTAATGCGCGGCTGTCCTTGGCTCTTCAGGAGTCCATTGCTAGTGTAGAACATTGGAAGAAACAATTTTTATCGTGTAAAGATGAGAATGACCAACTCAGGAACAAGGTAAGGGTGAAGGGAGTGGTTGACAATGGTTCTGTCTTTGCAGGAATTGTAAATTACAATGTAGAAATGTTGGTGGCTTTTAAAGCTTGAAGGGGCTTCTACATGCATCAAGAAAATGTTAGTCTTTTTTTTTGCATCAATTTGTATCAATAACATTTTTGTTTAAACACTATTGAGCATTTGCTCAAGCAAAGCTTCTTAGGGTTCTATGCATTGTAATATGTGTTTGCTTTCACTGTGCATGTATAGGTATTCTTATTTTCATTATACATGTTTTTCTTTCGGAATGTACAGTTGGGCAAAAAAATATTAAAATATTTAGTCAGCCACCAATTGTGCAAGTTCTCCCACTTAAAAAGATGAGAGAGACCTGTAATTGGCATCATAGGTAGACCTCAACTATGAGAGACAAAATGAGAAAACAAATCCAGACAAATCACATTGGCTGATTTGGAACAAATTTATTTGCAAATTATGGTGGAAAATAAGTATTTGGTCACCTACAAACAAGCAAGAGTTCTGGCTCTCACAGACCTGTACCTTCTTCTTTAAGAGGCTCCTCTGTCCTGCACTCATTACCTGTATCAATGGCACCTGTTTGAACTTGTTATCAGTATAAAAGACACCTGTCCACAACCTCAAACAGTCGCACTCCAAACTCCACTATGGTGAAGACCAAAGAGCTGTCGAAGGACACCAGAAACAAAATTGTAGACCTGCACCAGGCTGGGAAGACTGGACCTGCAATAGGCAAGCAGCTTGGTGTGAACAAATCAACTGTGGGAGCAATAATTAGAAAATGGAAGACATACAAGACCACTGATAATCTCCCTCGATCTGGGGCTCCACGCAAGAAGTGGCTGACTAAATACTTTTTTTGCCCCACTGTATCTGTCATAGATAAGAATATTACATAAACCGTCTTTGTCTGAAGCAATGTTTCTTTTCATTAGGTCTTAGGCTGAAGTTTGCTCCATACAGAGCTGCCGTTCTTTGATAATCTATGCATAAAACATTCATTTCAATTTGTCAGTGGAAAACGGTTATTTAAATTTAGTTTTGTCCTAAAGTGTGTCACCTGACTCCCCTGAAGCCTTTTAGTAACGGCTAGCCTGTCTTAAACTTCCCTCCCGCTTGCTCTAATATGCTGAAACTTTTCGGCATGCCTACTAAATAAATTGAAAGTGATTTTTAAAATTTTGTTTTCCTTTTTAAATAAATATTTCATACAACAGCTTGCCTCTGTAATCCACTGTTCAATTTGTTCCCCGTTTTAAAAAATACAGTACATGCTATTTTTATTTCTAAACTAAGGAACATATTTGTTGGATTGGATGAAGGAACTGACTGATTTTGTCAAATGAATTTATTGAAGGCACAGATTGTCCTTTTATATGATGGCAGGAAGACGCAACTGTTAAGACATCGCTTGTCCTACCCCATGACCTGTTTCTCTAGAAATATTTATGGATATAATATCTATTACATTTAATAAATATTGTACCTTTCTATAGTACCATCAAAATGAAAAACAGGTTGGGATTGCTTGTAATTAAACATTTTAACTTGATTTCAAAGCAGCAAATAGACCTGTCCTGAGAGGAACATGGAGGCTGCCATTACTGTTCCCTCCCTTTTAAAAATGTTAATTGACTGTCATACTGACTCCTGAATCCATATTTTGAATGAATACACTTCTTTTCCCTCATCTGTATACTAGTTTCAAATTGGTGACTCAGGTTTCAGTTACTAAATGTTACCAATTGACATTTCTGTCTAATTTCCTTGCTATTTAATAGCAACTTGCTATCTGATGACTAACATCTCTATTAACCAGGTATCCATACCCACCTTACAACATTGGATGGGTTACACATAGGGATGCACCGAAATTTCAGCTCCCGAAACATTTAGTCTAAAAACGGTACTTTAGGCAAAACGCTGAAGCAACCATTCGGTGGTGCTGTGCATTTCTAGCTTCTCTCCTCCCTGCTGGGCGCTGCTCTGTGTCCCCTATGATCCCTGCTGCTCCTCCCCGCCTGTGTCGGCAGAGGCCGTGGGGATCAGAGGGGACACAGAGCAGCACCCAAGAGGAGAGTAACTTTCAGGAGGCCAAGCAGGGCGGGGAGGAGAGCGCTGTCAGGGTTATCGCAGGAGGCGGAGCGGTGTGGGAGGAAAGCTTGTGACAAGCAGATCAGGATGGAGAGCGGTGCGGGAAGGTGGCAGTTGCCAGCTGTTACAGGAGGCCAAGCTGGTGGTGCGGGGAGGTGGGCGATGTCATCGGCGTTGCCGGAGGCCAAGCTCTACTCCTGCACCGCCCGCCCAGCCTCCTGTGACAGGCGAGGCAGGATGGAGACCAGTATACAAACCATCAGCGATCAGCTGATCGCTTAGTGTTTGTAAAGAACTGAGTATGCTTACTATGTCACCAGTTATGAATAAATAGGAAGTGCTCTATATCACTTCTTGCTCATTGATGGTTGTGGACATAGTAAACATACTATCTCCACAGTTTATGAATGGACAGAAGCACTCAGTATAGAGGCTTCCTGTTCATTCATAAAAGGGGCTGCAGAAAAAAAAGATTTTAGGACTCTGTGTCCTCACTCTTTTTCTATTTCAAAAGGCTAATGTCAGGGGTCTATTTAGACCCCTAATATTTCCCCAAAGCCCATGACAGTAAATAAAAAAAATAAAATATAAATATTTTCGGTTTTGGCCTGACAAATGTTTTGGTCTGAAAATTCAATTTTGGTACACCTCTAGTTACACAAAATAGTTATACAGCAGAAATCTTAAATTGCACTCATTATCTTATCCTTCTAACAGTGAGACAAGTCGGTGTCCATGAATGAATAATATAGCACTTATAGTAAGCATTTGTGCAGCAGCTCTTTTGCCTAGGCCTATTTTGTCACCCATTCTGCATCTCTATATGGCTGTCAATCGGCCGCCATAGTGGAGGCACAAGCCATCTTTAAGCAGCTCTGTCTGATCCTAGACCTGGCCTCCTGTTTTCACCATCAGTGTAAATCCAATGATCAAATGAGTGGCGGAGTTTTTCTGATGATGTCAAAGTCAAAGCAGGCACTGTCACATATGTGCTGCAAAGCACTGCTGCTTCTGGTTGGGAATTATATGCTAAAGGAACCCCGATTGATTTGTCACATTAAACTGTGCTAACGGATCTTTGTTAGCCAAAATTTAGATTTTGATATAGGTCTGCTTTAAATAGGAAGAAACAAGGTCTATATGGCCCAAATCAGCCACAAGCTTACTTTCTTTTTTCTAAGCTGCACTAAACGAAATGCAGCTGAAATCTAGTTGCTGCAGACCACACAAAGACACGCAAATATAGATTCCATGCAGTGTGTGTTACATCATTAATATACTGAGCTCCTATTTCAGAAAGAAGCCCACAGTACAATTTTTTTTAATGTTCTAGTTCATCAGTGTAAGGTACTCCCCAAAATTATATGACTCATTATTTCCTCCATTTCAGAACTGACCCACTTCATCTTACTGTAGCTTCCTACACAGAGCAAGAGAAATTCTGATGAATAAGTTAATACCTCTTCACTATAGACACTTGACATTAATGCATCCGTAAATGTATCAATATTACTCATCCACCCCGCACCTGTCTGATTTTACTGCAGTGTTTTCATCGGCATTATCAAGGCATTCTATGTTTACGCTACAAGTCCCAGACACTTGACATATAAATATTAAATAACTTATGAACTTTTTATATGGAAAGTGATTTGTTTTTGTTAATATGTTCCTGTTTGTAATGTTTAATCACACCTCTACAGAATGCAAACATATTATTATGTCCATAGTAATCACTATTATGCAATATTGGATCTACCACCTTTAACAACCAACCCTATTCCTTTCTGCATTTAAAGTGAGACTAAACTCTGGAGTTAAAGCCTTAAAAATGCACTCGGGTACCCTAACTATTAATACAACTTATTTGTGTATCACTCGGCTGTAGATTCTCAAATCATCTCTGAATTCATGCTGACACTGTCCTTCCTTCTGGAGGGGGACTAATTTTGTTCCCCATGGTCCTTGTGTGTTGTAAAGTAGCCACCCCTCCAAGCTCGCTCTGTGATGGTCTACAATCTCATGATTAGTTTAGTAATTTGTATTGAGATTGCAGTCCATCACGGGAGTGAGTTTGGAGCGGTGACTACTTTACAACACACACATGGACCATGGGGAACAAAAGTAGCCACCCTCCAGAAGGGACAGTGTCCGCACCAATTCAGAGATGATTTGAGGATCTACAGCCGAGTGATAACTATTAACAATAATGTATCTTAATTGTGTAAGGTACTTTAATGCATTTTTAAGATTTAACTCCTGAGTTTAGTGTCGCTTTACAAGCTGAATTGATTAGTTGCTAAGCACAACTGCACCACACTAGCTCCAGCTTTCTTGAGCTGTTAAGTTTTTCTGTCGTTACGGTTGATTTAACACCATTGGTAAATCTAATGAAAGTTCCAGAATTGACCATTTGCAACCAAAATTCTAACTGTATATACCCAACTTTACTTTTCATCTCTGAGTAAACACATTACAATTTCTAAAGGGCTTGTGCTGTAATTGGTTTCACCAGTTGTTCAGCAGAGTAGGACAACAGATGCTTACTGGGATGTTGTTCTTGGACATCACTATGCAGGACCTCTTTCGCATATTAACTCCAACACAACTCTCCCTTTGCTTTGTTCATTATCCACACACATTAGGGCACAAATACTTTTACATATAGTGTCATTGGCTCTTAATCCTTCTCTTTTATCTCTCTGCCCCAGCAGTTTTCACAGTGGTTCTTTTTGGTCTAGCATAGCGGGTTTTACTTCAAATGGCAGTAACCGAACATGGACATAAATGCTGCCAAACCATTTACTAAATACTGCACCTGGGCCTTTTAACATAGTCTTGTGGTTATATGTGTCACCTTCACCATTAGGTGCTGCTGTTTCATAGAGAAGCAGAGTGGGGGACAGTTATCAAGCAAATTAGCAGCACAATTGTTCCCAAATCAGGCTGCCTTCCCTTCAGTTTACAGATTTTGGAGTCTAAATTCCTGGGCAACCAAGTTCCATAGTTTGCAAAGTTCTGAGAGATTTATTACTAAAGATGTGACCGATTTTTCATGCTAAATAGACACATTTTCACAAGTGGTTGGAGTCGGGCCTCATTCTTTAGTGTGCCTGTAGAGCAGCTGATAGAGGAATTTATGACTCAAGCTGTTACCCTGTAATAAATCTGCCTCCTCTGTCTCACTGCCCCTGTTTTGTATTTCCTTGCTGTCCTACCCAACTCATAAATGTCCATACTGGCACACACACCTGCTTATCCTACAGGGTTGTAGTCAAGGTTCCTGGTTTTGCCAAGATCAAACACTAATAAACAATGGCAGAAATTGTTCCTTACTCAGGATTAACCCAACCATAGCTGATTCTTCAACCAACCCTAAACGACCTACTGGTGGGAGGTTTCCTATTGCCATTCCCATATATTGCACACATACTTTTCTGAATGTTTTCTTCTCCAGACTTGCTAGACTGGATACCACCACTAGCACTTTTTCCATAAATCTAATATTAGAGGAGCAAACCCAGAAAAATCATGCCGAGTAGGGTTTTCTAGAGACAAAGGTGATTGCAGGTATGGTGTTGTATCTACCGAGGCCGGAGCGCCAGCTTCACAGTAAAGAGACACTTCCTATGCTTTCATCTTGTGCAACTGCCTGTCTTTCATACTAAAACACAATGAGGGGGAATTTATCAAAACTGGAGCAGACAAAATCTGGAGCAGATTTGCACTGCAACCAATTGGCTTCTGTCTCATTTTCAAATCTTACCAGAGCAAACTGAAGAGAGATGCTAATTGGCTGCCATGGGCAACTGCTCCAAATTCTGTCTTCTCCAGTTTTGATACCCCCCCCCATGTGAGCCTGCATTTCTATATTCTAAATTGCCCTAAATAGAGCAGTCTGTTTGGTAGTCCATTTGGATGATTGCCCAGTATACCGTCATGTGATGAGAAGCTGTAGGCCAACCCAGATGCACAATAATAAGGCATCTGATGATCTAGTACTCAGTCTGCCACTTGACAGGGCTTAGTCAGGTAAGTCGGGTACCTTCATAACCAAGTGAAACTAGTTCCCGCCCTCTTCTGTTTGCGTCTCTGCAAAGAGTTTTGTGCTGCTTTACCCAGAATTAGCGTGGGTCTTTGGTAACAAACATTATTTAAAAAATGACGGTTGCTACCAAAAAAAATGCTGCTTTCCTTAATGCTGTAAAATTAAAAAGGAGGAATGTTAGGCAATTTGAATAGCATATATAAAAAGTGCTTTAAATAGCCATGTGGAAGGTCGTCTGAGACCAAAACGTTGCCCTGTACTGGATAAAAAAATTAACTTGAACTAACTTCTGGAGTTAATATATTAGTTATTTTATTAAAGGTATTTACACAGCATGTACATACTATCATACTTCCATACTTTACATCCGTCCCTGCCCTTAAGGAGCTTACAATCCAGGGTCCCTATCTCATGTGCACATACAGGTGAAACTCGAATAATTAGAATATCGTGCAAAGTTCATTTATTTCACTAATGCAACTTAAAAGGTGAAACTAATATATGAGATAGACTCATTACATGCAAAGCAAGATAATTCAAGCCGTGATTTGTCATAATTGTGATGATTATGGCTTACAGCTCATGAAAACCCCAAGAACCCCAAATCCACAACCTCAGAAAATGAGAATATTACATGCAATCAATAAAACAAGGATTGTACATAGAACAATATCAGACCTCTAAAAAGTATCAGCATGCATATGTACTCAGTACTTGGTTTGGGCCCCTTTTGCAGCACTTACTGCAATTACTTTTGCACGATATTCTAATTATTCAAGTTTCACCTGTATACTAGGGCCAATTTATATGTGATAAGAGCAGGAACTGTCAGTTGTACAGTATAGCTCTTTAGGACTTTTTTTAAAATACATGGTTTTTACATGAAGTTTGGTTTTATGTGTATTTTAGGGAGTGTGCTTTGTGTATTAAATTGCACATACTGTACATTTTTTTTTTCTGTTTTTACATGTGTTTTTTTCCATCAATTTGGCAAACACATTTTGTGTAGATAAAAATGCAGAGTTGAGTTTGGTTGTTTTTTATTTCTCTATAAAGACTTTTCGTAACATCCTGTGCCAGAACACCCCTCTTAGTAGTTTTAACCCAAGTAAGTGTTTTGTTTCCCCTCATCTCATTTCTCAGTTTTAACATAAACTTCCTCTAGTGGCGACAGTTACCAGGGTATAAAGAGGTTAAGTCTCCCTAGCAGATCCACATCTCTGACAGAGGTCCAACCCCTTGCACACACTCTATCCAAAAACTTTAACTGGGCCAGAACAGCAATAATGTGAATGAGTCCTAATTGTGAGCACTGATGTCATATATGTAACCTTGTATCTTTCTACTGTGCTTTGTCTACTAGATTGGAGACCTTGAAGCTCAATGTGATGAAATAGACAAGGAACGAGAAAGGAATGAAGAGCTAAGCAAAAGATTGCAAGAGCTGGAAGCTGAGATTCAGGACAAAGAAGCTGTAAGTTGTGCAGTTTTAAAATAGTATTGAAAGCTCATAAATGTGACCCTAACAGATTGTTTCCACAAATAACTTGATTTATGCCCACCAGCATTTTTGTTCCAAAACGTAGACTATATTTAGAAACAATACAAGGATGTTATACTAACCATAAATATTACCGCATGGAGAACAAATTAAGTTGATGCTTTTCATAATTGATATCATTCTTGATGATACCTAGAGAATGAACCTTTCTGTCATAAGGTGACCATACATGGCTTTATTACCTAGGTCTAGGTCATCTTGAGCTGTTAATTGACCCATGTGTGATGAAGAATATGCAGTTTGCTCAGATATCAGACATTGGAAGGAATGTCCACTTGTTAGGATTACCGAATCTGTCTGTGGAAGCAGTCGTTGATCTAGCCTTTGCTTTACACTATAGTTTTTTTCTGGGGTGCTGAATGTCCTGGTTTCCGTTTAGTCATGATTGTTAAATGGCTATATCTCTAAAAGACAAGACTGCTAGTGTTTGGCCTTAAAGTGTATCAAAACCCAAAATGTAATATACTGCACCTTACCAATTCTTAGATGAGGTGGCTACATTTGTTTTGTGTGTTTTTTTTGTTTTTAGTTTTTTTTCCTTTTAATTTCACCTTGTAATCGTGCTTTAACCACTTGAAGACCAGGGTGTTGAACCCCCTTCCTGACCAGGCCATTTTTCAGTATTCAGTGCTGCGGTTCTTTGACTGACGTTTATTCCGTCATAAAACGCTGTACTGAAATGAATTTTATACCATTTTTGGGGGGGACATATAGAACTTTATTTTGGTGGTATTTAATCACCACCGAAGTGGGAGGGAAAATGGTAGAAAGACTGGAGGAGCTTTTAAACTAGAAAGTGGGGGGGAGGGTATAAAAATAAAATTACTTAAACTAAACGTTGATAATTTAATCGTAGATAAAAATAACACAGAAAGTAGTAAAAAAGGAGTTAATAATAGTGGGCTCACTCCAGTCAATATAGGAAATCCGTTGGCACATGTAAGTATAACTAACAACGGACGACCGAAATCAAGGCAGAATAATAACAAAAAAAGAGACGATTTCTTAAGGGACCGTAATATACAGGGGTACGGGTACTCCTAGAATGAGATCCTAATAGGTTGGACTTGATGGACTAATGTCTTTATTCAACCTCAAATACTATGTAACTATGTAACTATGTAACTATATAACAAAAAAGTACCCTAAATTTTGAGGGAAAAAACCTGTTTCCCTACGAAATGTTATGAAACATTTATTATCACCCAAATTTTTTGGTAGAATATAAAATACGGGGTCATGTCGGGTAAATAGACCCCAAACAGCGGGTCTTTTTTATATTTTTTATTTGTGAATATTTTTTTAAGCTTCATTTTTTTTTTTTACACTTAACTTTATTGCTATCACATAGGGGACTAAGAAATCCCCTATTTGATAGCCAATTCACATAACTGGTCCTCTTTATGGATACATGAAGGGTCTCCAAGACCCCTAATGTCACCTAGGGACCCCCACAGAAGCTGATGAAGCAGAGATCTGCTTCACCGGCATCTGTTGCTGGAGAGTGACACTGCATGCGTAAGTGATGTAATATAACATACATCACTAACTGCATTCGGGGAACGGAGAGGTGATCAAAGGGGGATCGTGTACCGAGCTCCCTTTGATCTCCAGTGACAGCATTGAAATGGCCTCTCAGCAGGATGGCACCTCACTCACAGCCCCAGAGGATCCTCTTCCAGACAGGAACAGCCATTTACTCTGTGCAGCAAATGTCACTTCAGGACTGCACGTGGTACAAGTGAGCACAGTCTCTCCACAAGCTGGCTGCACAACACAAGCAACAGCAGTCTGGCCTCCCTGTCTCCTCACACTAGACTCCCCCAGCAACCTTTAGCCCCCAGAGTTTACTTCCCTTCCCCCATGTAGCACTCTGGGAATTGTAGTTTTAAGTATCCATTTTCATTTTTAATTCCTCAGTGGCTGTGTCCACAATCCCCACAGAGCTGTGCTCTCTGGCTCCACCTGCAATATCTTTTCTCTTAAAGGAGCTGATCCCATAACAGGGCTACACATGTCTGAGGTCCAACCTGGCAGGCAACCATGACTTCCTCCATAAATACAGTGGAGGAGTGGCTGTAGCCACCTAATCACAGGAAGTGGTATTGGCAGGATTACCAGGTGAAATAATGGGGGGTCCAGGACTGGTAGGATCTGGTAAGATGCAATATATTGCATTTTTGTTTTTGGGTTTAGATGTGCTTGCTAGCAGTAGATATATGCAAAAACACTGGAGGGTTTAATAACACTTTAATTCTAACACTTAACCCTATAAACACAAGGATTTTATACCAACAGTAAATATAGCCGCATTGGCTCTAGAGAACGAATACAAGTTGGTGCTTTTCATAATTTAATCTTATTCTTGATGATACCTAGGGAGTCAACCTTTGTCATAACGAGGTGCATGGATTAATTACCTGGGACAAGGTCATGTGAACCCGTTAATTGACCAATATGTGATGAGTAAGCAGTTTGCTCAGATAATCAGACATGGGATGCAAAGTCAACTTGTTATGATTACCACATCTGTCTATGGAAGCAGTTGTTGATTTAGGCTTTGCTTCATACTAGAGTATTTCTGGGATGCTGAATGGCCTGGTTTCCCTACCTCTTAACCTCGTCATTACCTTAATCCTTAACACTTAAGCCTTAACTCCAGTAACACTTAGATTATGTTTTAAGATGAAGGCTAAGCTTTAATTCGATCACTTAACCCTCTAAATCATAATGTTGACTTTTAGCAAGCACTAAACAAACCCCAGAAAACTTAAATAGTTGGGCATCTAAAGCGGCTTTTCCAACACTGAGGTCCCACAGTGCTGAAATTTTCCTTACTATGAAGTGTGAAAGGAAAAATCTTAGCAGACACACAGATGTCTAACATATTAGATTCTAAGGCCTGGTTCACACCTGGGCGTTTTACAGCGCGTTCCTACGCGCTGTAAAACGCTCAACATGTGAAGACCAATAATTGCCTATGGGCATGGTACCCACCTGGGCGCTTTACAGCGCGTAGGAACGCTCTGAAAAACGCCCTACGCCCAAAGAAGTACAGGAGCTTCTTTGGGGCGCGTTTCCATTGGTATTCCCGAGTGTGGATCGGGGTTAACAAAGCGGTAACCCCGAGCCACACTCGGGAATACAGCGTACAGGTCTTACCTTGTCCGCAATCCCCGCTGTGTCCTCCGGCAGCTGGCGACTTCAGGGTTCTGTCCCTTGCGAGCGGCCACGTCGCAGGGGGGCGGAGCCGGCGGGAAGTTTGAAAGTGATTTTTTTTTTTTAAATAAAGAAAAATAGGAAAAAAACAAACAAAAAAATCATACCGCCAGTGAAACGCGCATTTCACTGAACCAAAAATCGTGCGAAAAAAAATGAGCTGAAAAAATACGCCCAGGTGTGAACCCAGCCTATGAGTTCTAGCAATATACTGTACATGTTTTTAAAGTGAACAACTTCAGATCTGCCTTGGCCCTTTGGCATTTCCATTTTGTTCAGTTTTGTGCTGCAAGTAAACTGTAGACACAGCTGTCCATATCTGCAGTTGTCTACAGACTGATTTATATTCCATGTATCTACAAATGTTCCCACAACAACATTTGTACTTTCCCCACAATTATATAAAATGAACAGTAAAAAGTTGTATGTAGTGTTTATACATTAGTACATATTTATCAGAACTTAGGCTCTTTTACACAAAAATATACTTTTGACATATGGTCAGATTTGTCATAATATGTAGAAGAGTTGGAAATCCTGAATTATCTCATTGATTTATTTGTATTGTGCCCCTTGAACTTAAAGTGGACCTTTACCCCCTTTTCACTAAAAATCACATCAGCATGCAGCTCTCACATCTTACATTTTTTTATTTTACTTACAAAATAGCGTTCATCTACTTCAAGGACCACTTCTGGCACAAACGATGCAATGTGCCAAAGCGTTGCATCCTGGGAAGGTTACATCAACAGAGCATTGCTGGGAAATCATCTGTAATCTCATGACATCTCAGGGAAAGGCATGAGATGATGTGCATGGTCACATGTCTTAGTCGCATGTGCCAGAGTTCCAGGAAGTAAAGGGAAGTCGCATGTGCCAGAGTTCCAGGAAGTAAAGGGAGATCTAGTAATTTGCCCTATCAGGAGACTGGGAAAGAAATGAGAAATAAGGAATGCAAAGAATACAAAGGCGGCAATTATCTAGAAGTATGTGTTTGTATATGGTCATTACTAAACATTTCTAAATGTGTGTTTTTGTTGTTATTTTAAAGATATGAGTAAAGTTCCGCTTTAAGTGCTAAATTTCAAATAATGTGACTTCTCTACCCTAATGTTTTTTTTTTTATCCTGCTGATACTGTGTTGCACCCTGTATTCTAGAATGTATGAATTATTAATGTCTCCAACTTGCTGGATATTCCGTAAGATGACAATGTCAGTATCTGTGCTTCCAAAAGTCTCTAATGGGAAGAACAAAATGCCTTAAACAGCATGAAAATAATTGTATGTCTGCAAAGTATGTCCTTTGGATGATTGACAAGGCAACATTCCACCGGTATAATTGGCCCAACGTCCAGAACAATTTTGTAGTTCTTTAGGTCACTGCATATTAAGCATTTTGTTTCATGTTTGCCTCAGAGGATCTTCAGCTACCATTCTATTGTGATTGAGGATGTTAAAAGTTCAGCATGTTTGCCTTCAGTTCTGCTAAGACAGAAACACAACCATTTCGGAAATATTTTAGAATGTTTAGCAGTATATAATAGACTAATTAAAAAAATTGGCACCAAATCAATATAGCAGCTTTGAATGGATGGCGAAAATGTTAGCTTTTTTTTTTTGTCTTCCTCTTATTTTTCTGATGTGAAATGGTGTGTGTGCAGCACGACTGCTATTGGGTTGTTAAAGTCATAAA